TGTATTCCCTGTGAAATGAGTAACCAACCAGAGGACAGACATTTCCCTGCAGAAAAATTGATTTAGAAAAACAAGACAGAAAACAAAACTAGTCCGTCATATGCAGATTGGTCTGACTACGCCCTTTTTGAGCTAAAGTAAGAACCACTGGGAGTAGGCTGCTACTTAAGGAATAAATGAAGAAGCGACAATAAAGAAGTTCTCATTGTTGCCTTAAACAAAAAGAAAACGGGTGTAGCAGTGTGTCCAGAGAACTTTGGCTAATTTTCTTGACAGTAAGTGAAGGTCTGTTTTTTTTTGTGTGTGATGCCAAATGTCTGGGTCGACACTGCTAAAATCAATCTATTTTCCCCGTGTTTCCAAATATGTGCTTTATGTTAAAGGCCTAATAACTAACATGTTTTATATTTCTCAGCAATCTTTCATTGTGTAGATACAAGAGTGTAATATAGGGACATAATACAATTTGCTTCTTATTAAAAGAGGGGGGACTGTCTGAAGATTTTGATACGCAAATATGAAAGGAATGAATTTTGAGATCATAGAAACTGGAAAAAAAAAAGTTTCTGTTTGTTTGCTTATTACAAACATTTGGACAAAATTGCTTCCTAATGTGATTACCTTAAAACAAAAACAAAAACAAACTTACATTGTAGTTTACTTCCTAAGCTATTTAAGGACTTTTCAATCCAGAAAACTCAGAGAAATACTTTTATTCTTCTTCTGTTTCAGACTCAAGTTGCAGGTAGTTTAATATGGGTTGTTATCTTGTGGATTAACTCTTTTGTTAAAAGTTATTTATTCAATCTGGAAAGCAAATAGAGAAGAAAATATTTCATTGGAGTTATATCAAATGGGTACAATTTGTTGTTCAGATGAATTTCTGTAACCAGAATCCTGATGTTAAATTGCTTACTCTGGGATTTCCATCTAAATTCAAAGAGAAGAAATTACTATGAATTGGATGAAATGTAATTCAACTCCTCTAGTCATAGAATGCTGTTATAAAAAGTAAAAATTGTGAAGTACCTTGCAGGTTCTGAACTCTAATTATACTTTTTCATTGTATTATTCAGTGTTTTTGTAAAACTGTGTTAATCACCACTCTACTTCCCTACTAGTATGCCCTCCCACATAAAGCTTCAAGTTAATATATTTAAGGTGAAACTTTATGTTGTTGTTGTTAGGTGTCATCTAGTAGGTTTCAGCCCGCAGTGACCTTATGTAAAACACTGCCCGGTCATGTGCCAGCCTCAGGAATGTTGCTACGTTTGAGCCCACTATTGTAACCACTGTGTGCTGCAGGCTTCCTCTTTTTCGCTGACTCTCTACCAAGCAGGATATTCTTCTCCAGGGACTGGTTCCTCCTGATAACCTGTCCAAGGTACATGAGAGAAGGTCTCACCATCCTTGCTTCTATAGAGCGTTCTGGCTGTACTTCTTCCAGGACAGATTTGTTCATTCTCCTGGAAGCCCATGGCATGTTCAGTATTCTTCACCCACACCATAATTCAACCCACTAACCCACTGTCATCAAGTAGGATCTGACTTCTAGTGATCCCTCCTTGGGTTTCTGAGGCGATATCACTGCAGAAGTAGATTGCCAAACCTTCCTTCTGAGGAGTGGCTGGTGGGTTTGAACCGCCAGCCTTCTGGTTAGCCATCAAGTGCCTTAGGCACGGCACCAAAAGACATCAATTATTTGGTCATCTTTATTCACTGTCCAGCTATCACATGCATCGAAAGTGATTGAAAATATCACGGCTTGGATCAGGTGCACCTTATTCCTCAATGTGTCATCTTTGCTCTTTCATTCTTTAAAGAGGTCTTTTGGGGCGGATTTACCAAATGCAACACATCAGTTGATTTCTGAATTGCTGTTTCTGTGGGTGCTGATTGTAGATCCAAATAAATGAAATCCTTCACAGCGCCCATCTTTTGTGCATTTATCATGCTGTTACTTTTTGGTCCAGTTGTGAAGATTTTTGTTTTCTTTTATGATGAGGTGTGATTCTTACTGAAAGCTGTAATTTATGATCTTCATCATGAAGTGCTTCAAGTCCTCTTCACTTTTGTCAGTCAAGGTCGTGTCATCTGCAAATTCTGATCCCTTGTTCTTCTTCACATTATCCAGCTTCTTGGATTATCTGTTCAGCATACAGTTGAATAACTACGGTGAAATGATACAGCCCTGACACACATCTTTTCTGATTCTTAATTATGCAGTATCCCCTTGTTCTGTTCGAATGATAGCCTATTGGTGTGCGTACAGGTTCCTTGTGAGCACAATTAAGTATTCTGGAAATCTCATTCTTTGCCATGTTATCCGTACCTTGTTATCATCTACACAGTTGAATGCCTTTGCAAAGTCAATGCAACACAGGTAAATATCTTTCTGGTATTCCCTGCTTCTAACCAAGATCCATCTGACATCAGCAGTGATATCCCTTGCTCCTGTCCTCTTCTGAATCCTGCTTAAATTTCTGGTAGTTTGCTGTCTAGATACTGCTACAACCATTTTTCAATTGTCATCAGCAAAATGTTACTTGTGGGTGATATTAACAATATTTTGAAATAATTTCCACATTCTGTTGGTTCACCTTTCTTTGGAATGGGAACAAATATGGAGCTCTTCCAATCAGTTGGCCACGTAGTTGTCTTCCAAATTTCTTGGCATATATGAGTGAGTGCTTCCAGCATTGAATCTGTTTGCTGAAACATCTCAATTGTTATTACATCAATTCATAGAGTCTTGTTTTTCATTAATGCTTTCAGAGCAACTTGGACTTCTTCCTTCAATAGCATTGGTGCTAGATCATATGTTATCTCCTGACATGATTGAACACTGACAAATTCTTTTTGATACAGTGATTCTGTATATTCCTTCCATTTTCCCTTGAAGCTTCCTGCATCATTCACTATTATGCCCATAGAATCCCTCAATATTGCAACTTGAGGCTTGAATTTTTTCTTCAGTTCTTTCAGCTTGAACAATGCTGTGTTCTTCCCTTCTGGTTTTCTAACATCAGGTCTTGTACCTTTCATTAAAATACTTTACCTTATCTTCTCAAGCTGCCCTCTGAAATCTTCTGTTCAGCTTTTTTACTTTATCATTTCTTCCATTCACTTTAGCAACTCTGTGTTCAAAGCAAGTGTCAGAGTCTCTTCCGACAACCATTCTAGTATTTTCTTTCTTTCTTGTCTTTTTAATGACTTATTGCTTTCTTCGTGCATGATGTCCTTGACGTCATTCCACAACTCGCCTGGTCTTTGGTCATCAGTGTTCAATGTGTCAAATCTGTTCTTGAGATGGTCTCTAAATTTAAGTATGATATACTCAAGGTCGTATTTTGCCTCTCATGGACTTGTTTGAATTTTCTTCAGCTTCCCCTTAAACTTGCATATGAGCAATTGATGGTCTCTGGTCTTGTTCTGACTGATGATACTGAGCTGCTCCATTGTCTCTTTCCACAGATGTAGTCAATTATATTCCTGTGTATTTCATCTGGTGAGGTCCATATGTGTAGTCACCATTTATATTGTTGAACAAAGGTATTTGTGATGAATAAGCTGTTGGTCTTGCAAAATTCTGTTATGTGATCTCTGGTGTTTCTATCACCAAGACCATATTTTTCCATTAGTGATCCTGCTTTATTTCCAACCTGCACATTTCAGTCACCAACAATTATTAATGCATCTTGATTGCATGTTTGATCAAATTCAGATTACAGAAGTTGGTATAAAATCTTCAATTTCTTCATCCTTAGCATTAGTGAATGGTATGTAAATTTGAACAATAGTCTTTCTTATAACAAAAACAAAAAAACCCACAAACTCACTTCCATCAAGTTGATTCTGACTCATAGCGAACCCCTTTGGGTTTCAGAGGCAGTAAATCTTTACAGAAGTAGATTGCCCAGTCTTCCTTCCCTGGAGTGGCTGGTGGATTTGAACTGCCAACCTTCTGTTTAGCAGTCAAATGCTTTAGGTACTAGGCCACCAGAGTTCCTTTCTCATTGTTGTTGTTGTTAAGTGCTGTTGAGTCATTTCTGACTCATAGCGATCCCATGCACAGCAGAACAAAACACTGCCCAATACCACGCCAGCCCCACAATCCCTGCTATACTTGAGCCCATAACCTAACCCTAACCCTAACCCTAACCCTAACCCTTTCTCATAGACATATGGTTATTATTCTATTACTAACAGAGTTGTACGTCAGGATAGATCTTGAAATACTCTTTTTGACAATGAATGTGATGCCATTCCTCTTCAATGAGTCATTCCTGTCATAGTGGACCATATGATTTTCTGGTTCAAAATGGCTAATACCAGTTCCTTTCAACTCACTAATGCCTAGGATATCTGTCTCCAACTGTTACATTTCATTTTTGACACCTTCCAATTTTCCTAGGTTCATAATTCATGCATTCCATGTTCCAGTTATTAATGGATGTTTGTAGCTGTTTCTTCTCTTTTTGAGTTGTGCCAAATCAGCAAATGGATGTCCTGAAAGCTTTACTCCACCCACATCATTAAGGTTGACTCTACTTCGAGGAGGCAGCTCTTCCCTAGTCCTACCTTGAGTGCCTTCCAACCTGAGCAGCTTACCTTCTGGCTCTGTATCAGGCAATGTTTGGCTGTTTTCACAAGGTTTTCAGTGGTTTTTTTTTTTTTTTTTGGAAGTAGATTGCCAGGTCCTTCTTCCTAGTCAGTCTTAGTCTGGAAGCTCTGCTGAGACCTTTTTGGTACAGGTGACCCTACTGGTGTTTGATGCTTCCAACATCACAGCAACACACAAGCTAACACAGTACAACATATTGACAAAATCAAGAATTTATTAAAATAATACTTTAAATTCTTTTTTGTTTCAGTTTTTATATGTAGTAAATATCTAACTCAAACATATGATGGTTTTTCTTATTACATTTAATACTTTTCCTAGTTTGTACTCCATCATATTTATTTATTTTTCCTTGTTTGTAAAGTGAACAGGCAAAATGAATAAGAAAAAGAAAAATGTGTATCAGCAAACCCAGGCACTTCTGTGCAAGAATTTTCTTAAGAAATGGAGGACAAAAAGACAGAGCTTGGTGGTATGTTTGAAAGTCTGTATCTTTCCACATTTAGCACTGTTCTTTTATTTCATTGACTAGTGATCCTCTGCTATTATATTTTAATTATTAGATTTAATTAATTGACTTTAAGATCATCTCTAGTTGTTTTTGCTAAACTGAGAGACTCATCGCAGTCACTGAAAGTTAATGTAAAATTATAAGAGCTACTAGTATTACTCATATATATATATAGTATGTATGTATGATACTGCCTCGGAAACCCAAGGAGGGGTCGCTATGAGTCAGGTATGACTCGACGGCACATAACAACAACAATGTATGTATGTATTTTTTAAAGGAGTTGGAGAAAACATTGAAATATATGGTAAATGATAACAACAATTATAGCTGCTACCACAGTTGGAGTATTGTAATACTGAAAATTTTGGCCAACTTAAATAGAGGAGTTTGAATTTTGGCAACTTATTTATGAGGCCATGATCTTTCTACAAAGATTATTTCTAAGAGTTATGACCAAGCAATGCCACTGATTGTTTGCATTAGTTAGACGGGCTAACCTACTGGTAACAACCCCAAATCTCAGAGGCTTAACACAGTGAAGGTGTATTTTTCATTCTTATCATGGTCTGAAAACGTTATTGCTAGAAGTGGAGCAGGTGTGGGTGGGTGAAGGAATCTTCTCCATGCAGTTATTCAAGGATCTAGGCTCCTTTTTTCAGAGTCTCTTCCATCTCCTAGGTTTGGAGACCTCCACTGGATCTTTTGCATCTAGTTATAAGAAAGGAGAGAGACTAAGACAGAGAGAACATAGAAGGTTGTACCAGGTTCTACAAGCCAGGCTTGGAAGTGGAGCATATCACATCTGCTCACATTCCACTGGCCAGAACATGATCCCATGGCCCCACTTAATTTGGGGGGCACTGATAATGTAGTCTAGCAATGTGCCAATGAAAGAGAGATCACTGATATTGATGAACCACTGAACAGTCTCTACTACTCAGTTCTTCTTCACTCTCTTTGGTTTCTGATACAAGGATATGACAACCAACAAACATATTGGTATTTGCTGCCAAAAACTCATGTGAGGTGTCTTTGCTTCCATAAGTCTGAAATCTAGAATCCCCTGATTATATAGTGACAACAATGACTTCTAGTTTTTTTGCTTCAATTCCCTTTGGCACACTTCCCCTGGCATAATCTTTTTTGTGTATTTACAGCTTGCCCTGACACCTGTCATTATTAACAGTAAACACAATTTTCATGCATTTCTCCTCATTCTAGACTCTAAAACTTAAAATAAAATTCCCCTCCTTCTCTCTAGAGTCTGCTGCCCAGACATTTAGGGGACATCATCCAGTTAGTCATTCTGTTATGTTATCTGTTGGTTTGTAAAGTAGTTTTCACTTGAATGCAAAAGTTTTTCATCCATGTAACTACTGTCTCAGCATTTCTCTTTGTGGGTTCCTTTTGTTCTGAAGGACCGAGAGCAAAGAGATGGCAAGCTATATGGTAATATATAGTAATATTGGAAGTTATCTTCTATAATTCTTTGACGTTGACTTAGCTATTTAAGGGAATACAATCTAAATTTGTTCTTTTTCTATGTATTTTAGGAATGGAGCCTTCCAATACTTTTAGGACTGTATATGGGCCTATTTTCCGATTTCCAAGAAAATAGTCATATTCCAGAAACACCTTCTCAGGATCTAGGAAGGGTAGATAAATTTAATGATTCTTATATAATGGTTGTGTACACACCAGTCTCTAATGTAACCCAGCAGATAATGAATAAAACAGCATCTGCTCCCTTTTTGAAAGGTGAGTGTACTAATGGTTAAAAAGTACTATTGATATGATATTTCTTTATAAGAGGTATACATGTTCAATTTGAGGATATAGTGATATATCATGCTAATTATTTAGATAATACATATTTGGTTAGTTTTCTTATTTTCTCACATCATTTAGGCTTTTAAACCCTTTCAGCTTGATTGAAGTCCATTTTCAGGAGGCCCACATTTCTATGGACTTGTCACTAAACAATTGATGTAAATTTCAGATCTTCAGAACAGTCTGTAGAATGAGTAGAGTCACTGGTGGGTGCAGGAACTTTTAACATTGCAGATGCAGTGATTAAGATTTATAACTGAGAAAAAAATGTCTAAATAGCAGCAATTAAGCTATAGTTATTTAATGATAACTTCGGAACTATGGAAAACAAGGATGGGTAATCTAAAGATCATTCTGCATATGGTGTAATGTATAAACATTTTAGAAGGTCTTCATTCCAAATGAGGTCACCATGTAACTGAAATAACCAAAATGGCCGTGTTGGGTGAAGCCTGGCTATCTACTCTCTGATTCTTGAGATTTATAGCTGTTAGAAATACAATCACCTTCTGGTCTTGGTTCCTGTATAAGACAAAGGTCATGTGAAGGACCTTTGCTTCAGAAAATCTGAACTCTACCATTGAATATATAGTCATCACAACAATTACGTCTGTGTATGTACTCCAATTCGCTTATGCACAATTATTCTGGCATGATATTTTTGTGTACCTGAAACTCATCCTGATACCTCCCATTATTAAAACAAAACACTTAATTCTCATGTCTTTCTCCTGACTCTAGATTCTAAAACATTTAAGTAAAATTTCCCACCTTGCCTTGTGGAACAAGTTTGAGTTCAATGGAAAATTAGTCTTAGTTTCATTCTAGTGGGAAATATATGATGACACAGTTGGATATGCCATTCTGTTTTGGCTCATCCCTGTAATAATGATATGTATCTATTTTTACCTTGTAATTCACAGGAAGAAGTGTCATTGGAGCACCTGATAAAAAATCCATGGATGCACTAATTACAGAACATTTTCCATACATTGTGACAGTCATCTTTTATGACACTTTCTCATATAAGTTAAACTTTTATCAGGGATATAGCATTCCGTATGTGACGGAAGAAGATTTCTCAGGTGACTTTCCATATAAAATGGTATTCAAACATTTTTTTATGCTTGCAACAAAAGGAATAGTTGGAGATGGGTGGCAGACTTGCTTTCAGTAGCACATGAGAGAAAAGATAAATGACATTTTATTGCTGGACGTATTCCTGTGTCGGTCAGATTATTTCACTAAGGGGTGATGTTCAACAAATCTTAGAGTCATCCATTATCCAACATGCAGCTCAGCCTATGCAAGGTGCAAGGGCTGCAAGAGCAATCAAAACTGAGAGATACCAGCCTGAGGTGAGATTTTAGTTTAGTGTGAAAGACAGACATTGAAGAAATTCCTGGAAAAGTGCTCTGGGAACTTAGGCATGGTGGCCCTATTAGGCTGGAGGATCAGGGGAGTCCTACCTGGGGAAGTGACGTTCAAACTAAGACCGGGGAACGGTAGGTGTGAACTGCTGGAGTCCGTGTTTCAGATAGAAGAAAGATGAGCATGAAGGTCGTGGGATGAGAAGAAGCATCTGTTAGTAGGCCTGAAAGAAGAACATGAAGAAGAATGTGGTAGGAGAATGAGGCTGAAGCAATTCAATGGCTAGATCTTGGCAAGTCTTGTAAACCTAGGACAATGGGCTGCCATTGGGGCACTTTAATCTGAGCAGAGACATGATTCAATTCCCAAGCCTAATGGAGCACTGGGTATAGTATCAGGGTCAGGGAGAATGCAATGAAACCTGCTAGTTAGCTGACGTGGCTGCTTAGTCCAGAGCAGAGGCAGCTAAGAGGGAGACAGGCAGAGGCATTTCAGGGCCCTGTAGGAAGTAGAATTGATATGATTCCGAACTGTTTTCTTTTCTGTTTACTCACTGAGTGTCTACTCGGTCCCTTATTATTCTCAGCCCTGGGAACTGAAGTGAAAACAAAGATCCTGCTTTCATGAAACATTCTGGTCGAGGATAGGAAATGGGGAAAAAGCAATCAACAAAGGAGCACGTATCTAGGCATTCTGTCAGTTAGTGATTAAAGCAACACAGTAAAATAAAGCAGGGTTACCAGATAGACTGCGAAGAGAGTCATTTTAGATATTTTACTTATGGTGTCCAGGAGCATCCCCTATGATGAGGTTATGTCTGAGAAGAGAGCAGGATGAAAGGAAAGTGTGAGCCACGTATTCTCCTGGAGGGAGAGCATTCAAGTGCAAAAAACAGTTTAGTTCAGGACCCATAGTGTTAACTTTTGGCAAGCAGTGTTCTTTCCTTTTCTCTTCTTTTTAATTTCTGAGACCTTCTATATATGCTGTAGTATGCATAAAGAAAATTCCCTTGCTAACAACTTTAATTGGCTTCCTTTTCCCATGTGGTTAACAGTTCTGTGGTGGAGCTTTCTCTAGATTGCTTTCTCAAGGAGTCTTCTTTCTTATTCTCCATGCTGCCCTCACCCTACAATGACTGTGCTTTGTGCTTCCAGCTCACTGCTGGCATGGGTATGAAGGGGTTTCATGCTCACAGTCTCTGTACTGGGAAAGAGGATTCGTGACTTTACAGACTGCCATTAATGCTGCTATCATAGAAGTAAGTGCTTCATTGGAATTTTATAATAATTAATAGAAGCTAATTCTGGAGGCATCAAGTTTTGGATGTAGACTCAGGTTTCCATATATTTATATATAATGCAGGTATACAAATGTTGAATTTGGATTTAAACAAAAAGGCAAGTTGCTTATTTAAAGTTTTTGATTTTGACATAATTGTAGATGCATAGGAAATTTCAAAAATGATATCCAGGAAGGTCTCACGTACCCTTCATCCAGTTTTCCCAAAAATGCTATGCCTGACTGTTAACCTCAAAGGTTGGAGATTCAAATGCATGGAAGAGAGTCTGGCAATCTGCTTCTATAAAGATTACAGTCAAAACAAAGCCATGGAGTAGTTCTGCTGCAGAACGTGTGGGGTTGACATGAATCAGAATGGACCCAAGAGCAACAGGTCTGGTTTTGTTTATAGACAGGCATGTTGCTGTCAGTTTTTGTAGACTTCACGGTGCCACTCGGTGGGTTTGAGCTGCCAATCTTCAGGCTAGCAGTCAATTGCTAACTATTTATAGCACCTAGTGAACTAGTACACAACTAGTAAACTAGTACAATCTACAGAGCTTGTTCTCATGTCACCAGTTTCTATATGTTAAATAATGGTTTTGTTTGTTTAACCCCTTCCTCAGATCACAACCAATCACTCTGTGCTGGAGCAGTTAATGTCAGTTACTGGTATAAATATGAAGATGTTCCCTTTTATTTCTAAGGATATATTCCAAAATGAGACATTTATTTTCTACTGCTTGATTTATTTCTCCCCATTTATGTATTTTGCATCATTCAATATTACACAAGAAAGGAAAAAGCTTAAGAACTTGATGAAAATGATGGGCCTACGAGATTCAGCGTTCTGGTGAGTCACTGATTCATATTGTTGTTGTTAGTCCCCCTAGGGTCTGACTCATGGCGACCCCGTGCACACCAGGATGAGAGGTTGCCCTGTCCGGCACCATCTGCGCGATCACTGGGATGTGCGAGTCCACTGTGCATCTTGAACGCCTTCCCTCAGACGGGGCTCAACCTCCAACACGATATTGGGTATTATCAGTTGTGAGCCCCACATTTCCATAGGCTAATTTCTGGAAGCAGATAACTTGGTCTTTCTTCATATTCTGTCTTGGTCTGGAAACTCCACTGAGACTTGCCTACCATGGGTGACTCTGCTGGTATTTGAAAAATGCCAGTGGTATAGCTTCCAGCATCATGGTAACATGGAAGCCACCACTGTATGACAAACTGACAGATGGGTGGTGGAATTCGTGTAGAGCATATTAATAACTAGGGAAATTGAGTCAGTGAAAAAATATGATTGTTTCAGAACATCTTGTTTAAATTTGATACATTTACTAGTTTTTCTTTTGTTCTTTTTTTTTAAAATTTTGTCTTGTTAAACTTTGCCATGCAAAATAGTGATTATAATTTGCTGAGCAATTTTTCTATGGCATCACTATGCTAGCTAATTCTGTGCCGTTGGTTATGGTTAGGTGCTATGAAGTTGGTTCCACTCACATTGACCCTTTATATAACAGAAGGAAACACTGCCCAGTCTTGGGCCATCCTCGTAGTCATTGCTATGTTTGAGCCCACTGTTGTAGCCCCCGTGTCAATCTCTCTTGTTGAGGGTCTTCCTTTCCTTGCTGACCCTCTACTTTCCTAAGCATGATTGCCTTCTCCAGGGACAGGTCTCTCCTGATAATATGTCCAGAGTACGTAAGACAAAATGCTGCCAGCCTCACATCTAGGGAGCATTCTGGCTATACTTCTTCCAACACAGATTTGTTCATTCTTCTGGAAGTTGATGAAATATTTGATATTCTTTGGCAACATCATAATTCAAAGGCATCAGTTCTCTTAGGTCTTCCTTATTCATTGCCTAGCTTTCATATGCATATAAGGCAATTGAAAATTCTCTGGCTTGGCTCAGGTGCACCTTACTCCTCAAAATGATATCTTTGCTTTTTCAACACTTTGAAGAGGTCTTTTGCAGCAGATTTGCCCAATGCAGTGCATCATTTGATTTCTTGACTACTGCTTCATGGGTACTGATTGTGGAGCCAAGTAAAATGAAATCCTTGAAAACTTCAATCTTTTCTCCATTTATAATGTTGTTGCTTATTGGTCCAGTTGTGAAGAAGTTTGTTTTCTTTTTGTTGAGGTGTAATCCATACTGCAGGCTGTGGTCACTGATCATCAGTAAGTGCTTCAAGTCCTCTTCATTTTCAGCAAGCAATGCTGTGTCGTCTGGCACATCACAGGTTGTTAATAAGTCTTCCTCCCATCTGATGTCTTGTTTGTCTCCACATAGTCTAGCTTCTTGGATTATTTGTTTGGTATACCATTGAATAAGTATGGTGAAATGATACAACCTTGACACATGCTTTTCCTGATTTTAAACCATGCAATGTTCTGTTCTAATATTTGCCTCTTGGTCTATGTACAGGTTCTGCAGAAGCATAATTAAGAGTTTTAAAAGTCTCATTCTGTGCAACGTTGCTCATAATTTGTCATGATCCACACAGCTGAATACCGTTGCATAGTCAACAAAACATAGGTAAATATCTTCCTGGTCTTCTCGGCTTTCAGCCAAACTCCACCTGACATCAGCAATGATGTCCTTTGTTCTGTGTGCTTTTGTGAATCTGGCTTAAATTTTTGGTAATTCCTTGTTGATGTACTCCTACAACAATTTTTGAATTATCTTTAGCATAATTTTACTTGTCTGTGATATTAAAGGTAATTTTTCATAATTTCCACATTCTGTTGGATCATCTACTTTGGAATGGGCACAAATATGGATCTCTTCTTGTCAGTTGGTCAGATAGCACTCTCCCAAATTTGTTGGCATAGACAAGTGAGAACTTTCATCTTTGCATCTGTTTGTTGAAACTTCTTAATTGGTATTTCATCAATTCCTGGAGACTTGTTTTCACCAGCGGACTTCTTCCTTCAATATCATTGGTTCTTGATCATATACTACCTCCTGAAATGGTTGAACATTGGCCAATTCTTTTTGGTACAGTGACTGTGTGTATTCTTTCCATATTCCCTTGATGCTTCCTGTGTTGTTCAATATCTTGCCCGAAAAATTCTTTAATATTGCAACTGGAGTCTTAAATTTTTCTTCAGTTCTTTCAGGTTGAGAAATGCCATGCATGTTCTTCCCTTTTGGCTTTCTAACTCCAGGTCTTTGAACATTTCATTATAATACTTTACTTTGTCTTCTTGAGCTGCCCTTTGAAATCTTCTGTTCAGTTCTTTATTTCATCATTTATTCCATTTGCTTTAGCTACTCTATGTTCATGAGCAAGTTTCAGAGTCTCCTCTGATGTCCACTTTTGTTTTTCTTTCTTTGCATGACTTTTTGCGTTCTTCATGTATGATGTCCTTGATACCATCCCACAATTCATCTGGTCATCAGTCATTAGTGTTCACTGCATCAAATCTGTTCTTGAGATGATCTCTAAATTTAGGTGGGATACACTCCAGGTCTGGTAGCATAGTGCCTAAGGCACTTGACTGCTAACCAGAAGGCTGGTGGTTCAAACCCACCAGCTACTCCTTGGAAGGAAGGTTGGGCACTCTACTTCCATAATAATACAGCCTTAGAAACCCAGGGAGGGTTTGCTATGAGTTGGGTCTGACTCAAATGCATATAACAACAACAACAACATACTCAAGGTCATACTTTGGCTCTCATGGACTTGTTTTCATTTTTTCTGCCTCAACTTGAATTGGCTGATGAGCAATTGATGGTATATTTTGCAGTTGGCCTCTGGCATTGTTCTGATTGATGATATTGAGTTTCTAAATTGTCTCCACTGATGTAGTCAATTTGATGCCTTTGTATTCCAGCCAATGAGGTCCACGTGAGTAGGTGCCATCTATGTTATTGAAAAAAGGTATTTCCAGTGAATAAGTCATTGGTCTTACAAAAGTCTATCATGTGATCTCTGGCGGTGTTTCTATTACCAAGACTTTAATTTCCAACTACTAAAACTGTTTCCAACTCTCATATTCCAATCACTAGTAATTATCAATGCATTTTGATGGCATGTTTGATAATTAAGGTCTTCAGAAGTTGGTAAAAATCTTAATCTTTGGCTTTAGGAGTTGGGGCATAAATTTGAATAATAGTTGTATTAACTAGCATTCCTTGTAAGCATATGGATACTATCCTGTCACTGACAGTGTTATACTTCAGGACAGATCTTAAAATGTTCTCTCTGAGAATGGATGCAACACCATTCCTCTTCAATTTGCTGTTCCCAGCATAGTAGGCCAAATGTTCATCTGGTTCACAATGGCCGATACCAGTCCATTCCAGCTTATTAAAGCCTAGGATTTATATCTTCAAGTGTTCTATTTAATGTTTGACAACTTCCAATTTTCCTAGATTCATTCTTCTTATGATCCACATTCTGATTATTAAAGGATTTTTTGCAGCTGTTTTTTCTCATTTTGGGTTGTGTCACATCAGCAAATAATAGCTCCAAAAGCTTTACTCCATCCTCATCATTAAGGACGACTCTACTTGGAGGAGGCAGCTTTTCCCTACTTATATTTTGAGTGCCTTCTGACCTGAGGGGTTCATCTTCTGGCATTATATCAGACAATGTTTCAGGGCTATTCATAAAGTTTCCCAGTAATACATCAGACAGTGTTTCACTGTTAGTCATAAGGTTTTCACCGGTCAATTTTTGAAGTAGATTTTAGAAGTACATTGTCATGTCCTTCTTCCAAGTCCGTATTAGTCTGGAAGCTCTGCTGAAACCTGTCTACCATGGGTGAACCCTGCTGGTATTTGAAATACCAATGGCATAACTTCCAGGATCGCAGCAACACAAGCCTTCATAGTAGGACAAACTGACGATGAGAGGTGGAATTTTATGATAAAGTCACTATTATGCAGTTTGTGAAGAAAAGATATGAGCGTCAAAGAGAATAAACACACACATACACAGTGTGTATAGTTTTACAGTAAATACAAATTATCGAGGAGTAGGAACAAAAACCCAGCAAAATGGTATAGGTAAAATTAGCAAATTGAAATGTAAATCATAAAAACTCTAAGGTTCCCAGTGGCTGAAGCAGAGAAATTTGCAGTACAATCAGTTGCAAAACCTATAGTGTATATAGAAAAAAGAAAAAAAAAAAAAGGAGAAATAACCTCCTAAAAGAAACAGAACATTTTTGTAATTGAATCCCAAGAAATATTCCTGTGTATCCTCACCGCATCAAGAAAGCGCTCTTTACAGTGTGAAGTGAATGAGGGGGTATCCTTTCCCAGTCATGTGCTTCTCAGCAATGATATGATACGATGGCCTAAGAACTTTGACTTTTCTGTACAGTATATTTTATTAACAGAGAGAATTTTCGTTTCAATATATGTGAATTGTGAAATAGCAAAAGAGGATATGACTTGGAACAAAAAGGAGAGAAGGACAAGAGTTTTTTGCAGGAACTTTGGAAAACACAAGGGAATACACCTTAGATCCATCTAGAGCATCGTAGGAGTAAAGGATGAGGGGGTCCCTGTAAAGGTGGCCTCCTTTCAGTCCACGGCATGGCCTCTGGGATGGCATCTCTGTGCCCCCTTCAGACCAGGGAGGATGGTGCCAACCCTATATTCAAGTCAGAAATGTATGGAGCGTTTGAGTGTGGATTCAGCTTTCACACATAAATGATTCTTAGTATGGTTGTGAAATGTCATCAGTATTTATTTAAGTGTGATGTCCGAATTGCTTTGTTTTTAGTCTATGGGTTTTCTCAGGTTTATTAACGTCTCCTCTTGTCCTTGCAACCAGGCCATTTTTCTAGGTGATGTCCTAATTTCTTTCATTTATGATTCTCCTAAGAAAAAAAAAAAAAAAACACTTGACTGCCATCAAGTTGATTGCAATTCATAGCAACGTCCCCACACACACACTTGGGTTTCTGAGGCAGTATCACTATGGAAGTAGACTGCCCATTCTTCCTTCTAGGAGCAGCTGGTGCGTTTGAACCACCAATCTTCTGGTTAGCAGTCAGATGCCTTAGGCACTCCACCACCAGAGCTCCCACCCTGTGGTTTTTCAGTTCCTCGTTAAAGCAGCTCTCTTCTGTACTCAGGAAGTGGGTTCTGCAGAATGTGGTATGGTTTTTCAGAAATGATATTTTTAATATAGACTGAATCATTGTAATGATGAAATTTTAAAAAGAAGTCAGATAATCAAGCATCAAGTCCAGCCACAAGCATGTTCTGCTGGGACATACTGATGCAATGCCCTGGTTTTGATACTTTTGCTGTGTTCTTCAACTGTTGTGTTCTTAAATTGAAGGATTCTATGCAGAGCAGAGTCCTCATCTAACTGAGGCCCATGGCTTCCTTAGCCTTGTTGCCTGATTTACTTTGTATCCTTGGATAAGCCCATTAACTAATAGTGAGGGTTGCTGCTTCCTCATCTTAAAATGAGAAGCTTGGACTAAAACTCCCTATCGGCTTGTTAGATCTAAAATTGTATACTGCTTCTTGGTAATGACTTTATAAAAATGTGAAATGTTGTTGTTGTTGTTATGTGCTGTCCAGTTGGTCCCGACTCATAGTGACTCCTCCTTGGGTTTCCAAGGCAGTATCACTATGGAAGTAGATTGTCCAACCTTCCTTCCGAGGAGTGGTTGGTGGGTTTGAACCGCCAGCCTTCTGGTTAGCAGTCAAGTGCCTTAGGCACTATGCTACCATTAGCTCATGTAAAGCAAAACAATGTGAACACTTAAGGGTGTAAAGTGGAATTTTATCAGTTTGAGTAATGGGATCATGATAGAAATAGCAAGGATGAAATGATCTTAGTGGAGATAAAGGATTTTAATTTTCCAGTATTAACAATAGTAGCATCAGGAGAGACTAGTCCCTGGAGAAGGACATTGTTGTTGTTGTTGTTATGTGCCGTCGAGTTGGCCCCGACTCATAGCGACCCCTCCTTGGGTTTCCGAGGCAGTATCACTACGGAAGTAGGATTGCCCAACCTTCCTTCCAAGGAGTGGCTGGTGGGTTTGAACCGCCAGCCTTCTGGTTAGCAGTCAAATGCTTTAGCCACTATGCTACCAGTGCTCCTGGAGAAGGACATTATACATGGTAAAGTAGAGGGTCATTGAAAAAGAGGAAGACCCTCAGTGAGATGGATTGACTCAGTGGCTGTAACAATGGGCTCAAGCTTGGCAATGATTGTGAGGATGGCACAGGACCAGGCGGTGTTTTGTTCTGTTGTCCATGAGGTGTCCATGAGGTGTCCATGGGTGAAAACTGACTCCACGGCACCTAACAACAACAACAGCACAGTGATAGTGGAAGGGCTGCCTCCTGAAATCATCAAGAATGGTCATCACTGGCCACCAACGCTTCCTTAGTTACTTGATTGATCAGCAGTTGTTACCTTCCCTTCAAATTCAACAGTTGGAATAGTTTTAAAGAAATTCTTGTGCATTTTCCAAAAAGACATGTACAAGACTGTTCTTAGCAGCACTATAATAAAAACCAAAAAAAAAAAAAAAAAAAAAAAAACAAACTCACTGCTGCCAATTTGATTCAACTCATAATGACCCTTCCTTGGATTTCCAAGGTGGTATTACTACAGAAGTACATGTCCAGTCTTCCTTCCTAGGAGTGGCTGGTGGGTTTGAACCACCAGCCTTCTGGTTATCAGTCAAATGCCTTAGGCACTACACCACCAGAGCTACCCAGCATTGTAATAGCACACGCACATAAAAAACAAACAAGAGAATATTATGATATATTCCTATAATGAATTATTACACAAAATTGAATCCACCCACCTGCTCTGTGGGAAAAAGACCTCAAGATCTGCTTCAGTAAAAATTATAGCCAAGAAAACTCTATGGCTTAGTTCTACCCTGTCACAGGGAGTCACTATGAGTCGGAATCAACTCAGTGGGACCCAACAAGAAGTGTATAATACTGTTAATGTTGGTTGATAAAGGCCAGCTGCAGAAGAAAAACACAGTATGCTTCTATTTCTATCACATTTATACTATTTATAAATAATTTGACAGAGAGCATAGCCATGCCAATATTCACAGTCACATAATTGGGTTTGACACCCTCTCTGGTTGGTTGATACTTATGTTGCACCAGTGTTCAGAATCTTGAGTTTCACTTTTGCCTGCATATGTAGTAAAGGATGTCAAAGTATATGGGAATTATCAACAGCACCTTGAGCTAAGTGGTTACCTCTGTGAGAGAAGGGGCCGTTGAGATCAGAACAGAAGTAAAGAGTGAGCTTCAACTGTTTTAGTTTTAGTTCTGAATCTAGATGGCAGGTAAAGGGGTAATCATTGTATTATTCTTTAGGTATTTTAGTATGTTTTAAAGATTTCATTAAAATAATTTAAATAACTTTTTGTCCCTCCTTAGGCTGTCATGGGGTTTATTCTATGCTGGCTCCATCTTCATTATTTCCATATTAATTACGATTGTCATAACGTCTGCCCAAATTATAGTCTCGATGGGCTTCATGGTCATATTTACACTATTTTTTCTATACGGCTTATCACTGGTAAGTTCACAATTTTTTTTTTTTTCAACTCTCTCTGGTCTTAGCTACATGTAGCAAATGTTAATACCTCAGTATGGTACTTCAGTTGGCTTTGTTATGTCCATTTTTGTGCGTGTGCATAAGAAAATCTTGATGGGTGTGAGAAAGTGATGTAACCCAAATAAAATCAGAGCTCTCTTTTGCAAAAAAGTCTGGGTTAACAAAATGATGAATCAAATAAAAAAATAAAAAATGTTTTTCACTCTGAAAATATTGAAGACTATTCTAAGTTGTCAGCAGCTCTGGTAGCATAGGGCCTAAGGCACTTGACTACTAACCACAAGGCTGGCGGTTCAAACTCACCAGCCATTCCTCAGAAGGAAGGTTGGGCAATCTACTTCCATAGTGATAATGCCTCAGCAACCCAAAGAAGGGTCACTATGAGTTGGGCCCGACTCAACAGCACATAACAACAACATTCTAGGTTGTTAATGATAATGTTCTTATGTCGTGGACACATCTTTATCTCCAAGGCCCTCTGTCACTGAAGACAATATCTCTTCTCCCTGTAGCATCCCATCTTGCAGTAACTTCTCACTTCATTGTAATATCCCACCTTGCAAGAACTTTCCACTTCTTTCCCTCTCCCTTCTCTGAACAAGGGCCTCTAATTTTTTTTTCCCTCCCAGGATGTTTTCTGCAAAATATGTGTAGATATCCTTTCTTAATACAATAAAAACTAACTAAATAAATAGTTAGTGGAACAGACCATCAACTGCTCCTATGCAAATTCAACTTGAAGTTAAAGACAATGAAAACAAGTCCACGAGAGGCAAAATATGATCTTCAATATATCCCTCCTGAATTTAGAGA